AGGCGCGGAAATCTTGGCACACCTCTTGAAAAAGGCTCTAAACAAAGGCGAAAGGGGGCACCGCTACCTACAGCCTCATCACTAATGGTCAGGTCCATCGTCCACATGTCCTTCGTGCCCGCGTCCACATTCGTTTTCACCGCCCGATTCCCGTATGCTTGTAGATCCAGACAGAGACCAGTATCCGTTCCCCAGCAGTCCCATCCTCTAGGTTGCCACCCAAGACGTCTCAAGGTCATCAACGTGGCCCCCGCAGGGCCTGTGACTTGCTGCCAACCTAGTTCCGTCTGACAAAGTCCTTCGAATACAACTTTCATCTCATCGTGCGGAGCCCAGCCCAAATGCACCGCATTAGCCCAAGACATCAGGGGGGCGGAGTTCGCAACATACGCTGGGTCGGCCAGCGGCGTCGGCGACAACATGAAGCCTATCGTGCGACTCCTGCCCTTGGCCTGCCCGAACACCGCCTCGCCCGCCACCGAGCGCAGCTGCCGGAGGGACCTGTCCGACACTCCAGTGACCGAGGCCCCGTAGAGTCCAGCTGGGTTGGCACCTGCGCGCACGATCCTGGTCAGCTTCTTGAAGGGCGATCTCAACCCTCGGAAACGGTGGGCCCTACGCTTGAGCTTGGCCACTCGGGCCTTCTGGACGGGGTTCCTTCGGGCCTTTCCGATGGTGAAATCCACTCCAAGATTTCTCACCACCGAGGCTCCAGTGAACCCCCACCTGGCCAGGGCTCTCTCGGAACTCTGAACCACACCCTTGTGAGTCGACACGATGTTGCCCTTAGCCCTGGCCGGAACAAGGTCCAACTCCTCCAGCTTCCTGCAGGTGAACCCGACGACGATGGGCAACATGTCGCGGACAAACTTCCTGCTACCGCGAATACGAACCGTGATGTCGTCAACCATATTGCACACACGTACAAAGGGAAATTTGGCCATCACGCAGTCCAACATGCGAATCAACAACATGTTCAGAAGCGCCGTGGCGAAGGTACACCCTGCAACAATCGTTTGTTCTGTCATTACTGGTGCAGAAGCGACCTGGCCAACCACGAGAAGACAAGGGCAGCGGCATACACACAGCAACAGGCGTAGGATGTCCAAAGGGAAGTTCGCCATCTGGGCCGCATCGATCAAATGTCCATGCAGCACTCTCTCGTGCGCCTTGGACAAGTCGAGGAGGCCCGTACCTGCACAAGTGTTCGTAATCCGAGCATGCCCTGTAGTAAAGGCCTGCTCCCAGACCCCACGTTCACACGACATGCCTGTACTTCCATAAAAGAAGTCACGCTTATTCTTCTTCTCCAATTCCCGAGCAACAGATCTGGCACAGCGCCCCCACACTCGCACAATGGTGGAAAGGAGACCAATGGGCCGAAATCCGCCCTCGGGCTTCTCGAGCATTGCAACCATAATCAAAGAAACCTGAGACGGAAGTCTGCCCGTGTCAAGCATCCAGTGCCACAGTAAGCCCAAGACTGTGAGGCAGCGGTCAGACAAATACACGAGATCACGAGAGCTCAACCTGTCTGCACCGACAGCAGTCCGCTCCTTGAAGGTCCTTGCCACCTTACGGATGGTGTGGCAGTCAAATGCCGGGATGCTGGCGGCCTCCTGCGGATCGATGCCTTCCCTCTCCAGCATGAGGGACAGGCACTTGAGTGGGTCGAGCTTCTCCTCGGCGGAATCCTCGGCCACGTCCTCCACGGACGCAGATGCTCCCCAGATCTCACTCCATTCATGCTGCAATGCCTCGACTTGCTCACCGAGCCCCAAAGGAGCCCCGTCAGGTCCTGGCGCCGACGGTTTCCATCCCACGGGTGATTGTGTGAGACGGTTGGCTTTTCCCGCTCCGTGCTCACATGCTTCTGCAACCCACCTCCTCCAAGCTGCGGAGCGGGCCCTCGCAGAGGCCTGCTCCAGCAAGGAGGCGAAGTAGGCTGCCTCTCTCGAGTACTCATCCAGCTGCCCATCTGTCAGAGCCAGAATGCCTTCGAACGACGGGCACCAACGTCTCCAGAAGTCAATCTCTTCGTCGGGCGGCCGACTGCCCAAGATCTTAGAGATCAACTGCATGCAATGCTGTGGGAAAAGACCTTCCGCCCGACGAACAATGCAAGCCAGCTCCTGAAATCTAATCGAGACCTTCCTCCACCCACGAGCCTTAGCACAAGATAGAGCATGCGGGCCTCCTGAGGTATGCAACTCCTGCACCCTGCGCAACTTCCAACCTTGTCCCCGACCGCGATACTTCCTCTCGCCAGGGCCCTGGAGCCCATGGGCCGAAATGAATTCCGTCTCCACGAGGTCATAGAACATCTGGCAAACTCGATCCATGGCTTCCTGTCCACAGCGCTCGCTCAGATGTGTCGTGTCCTCTCCCCAGTGAAGAATAGCATCCTCAACGGGCCCCCAGTCAGGCGGGGCAGGCATGGGCAAATGCGGAGCCTGAGAAGGGAACCTCCTGGGACCTGCCAGCGCCAGATACTCAGTGCGTACAAGATGTGAACGCAACCGCAAGGCAACTGGGTAATGAGATGCAAGGCATGAGCCCTGCACTCGTTCAACGCATTCGATTGATGGGGCAAGACCAGACGAGACCACGAACAAGTCAAGCTCCCTCCATACATGTCCTTTCCTGCATGTGGCTGCCCCGCATGCTGCAATATGTCCTCCCACTTCGCTAACCCAGCCAACCGTTCTGAGCTGCGACGGTGGGCAGTTCCAGTCTCCGCCAACCACAAACGGTAGACGCAAAGAGCGAAGCACTTCTCTTAATCGAAACAGGACCTGCGAACCGACATCTCCCAGAGGGTCCCCTGTAGGCAAGCGCAGCGAGACAGCGAGGAACCCCCCTGGGATGATACTGTTGACCCATGCCATCGTGATCCTCGGGGCCGATGGCAAGGGCTTCCCTTTCCACGGAGCGGCAGACATCCCAACATGAACTGGAACAGCAATGCCTACACCAGATGATAACCCCCCCGCCTCAGTGATTCGGCTAGGACTAAACATGGCTGACCACGACCAGCTCTTAACTTTAGCCTCCTTCTCATCCTTGGCGGAGGGGTGCACTCCCACTTCCTGCAACAAAACAGCGGCAGCGCCTGCCGCCTCCTTCTCCAAGAACTTCTGACAGCTGCACCAATCTGAAGTGTTGGCCGTCAGGACCGTGTACACATCGGGCCGAGCCAGCCCGTCCCTGCTACCCTCGCATTCCTGCGTTCTGAGCCCCCTGCGCGGTTGCGGGCGCCAAACCTCCGCTGCTGCCTCCTCCTCCTGCAGTCGCTGCTCCACCTCCCTTTCCGCCCTTGGCCCCCCCCTTTCTGGCAGCAGCCTTAGCTGCCGCGAACAGTTCCTCAGTGGACTTGGGGGGAGGCCCAGGGCTCGAATCGGAAGAAGTGTTGCCTGCTGCTGCCGGCTGAGGTGCTGCTGCTGCTGCTGCTGCCGCTGCGGCTGCTGAGGCTGACTGAGCTGGCTGCTGACGCTGCTGCTGCTGCTGCTGCTGACCCACAGAGCCCCCAGGAGCATCGCCATCATCACCACCAGCTGTAAACCCCTCCTCAGCGCGACGCTTCTTAGCTGCAAGCCTCGCTGTGAGTTCTTGTTGTTGGTTAATGGCATCCTTGGCCTGCTCCCGAAAGGGCCCAAAAGCCTGCAGCGCTGCCTCCTTAAAGATGTTAGCCAGGTGCTCCTTCCTCTTCCTCGCCTCCTCCACCTCCTCCGCCGAGGGCTCCCAACCCGCCTCCTCCAGCCCAAAAAGGCCGCCGTCATCCAACTGAACGCCTTCAAGACACCCGTCCATGAGAGACTCCAGGGATAGTACTGGCTTGACTGGCTGAGGGGGCTGCTGGGGCTCCTGGGGCTGCTGGACTGTGGAGGCAAGCTCTCTGACAGCTGTGGCGTACTGCTCCTTGGCCCTCTCGAGGGCCACAAAGGCGTCGGCACTGTCCTTCTTCGCTTGCTCCAATGACTCCTGCAGATTCATGGCTCTGTTGACTGCACGATCCAGAGCGGCCTGGCACCTCTCCATCTCCTGCTTCGCAGGCCCCCACTGCAGCTTCGGCGGCTGCTCGAGGGCACGAAGCTTCTCACGATACTTGCTGGCAGCCTCGAACTCTGAATTGGCCTCGAGAAACTGAATGACCGAGTTGAGTTCGCCCTTGGTACTCCCTGGAGTTCCTGACGAAATTTTGTTTGATGCCGACCAAGTCCCAGGAGCAGAGACAAGATCCCCAACACCAGGAAGAGCAGACTGACGTGCACCCCACACTCCCTTGGCCCCCGACTGGTTATCTTGATACTCCCCGACTCCTGTCCACTGGCGCCCGCAGTGCTTGCACCACGTCCACCAGTACTTGTTCGCTTTGCACCCGCACGCCCCACAACACCAATTCCCAGCCCGAGAACCATGCGCTGGCATCGCGCGCCCCCGCACGCCGACCGAAGGGTGAGGCCGTGGCCCCCCGCACAGCACACTTGGCTACTCGAGCCGAGGTTGGGAAGTTAAGGAGCAGGCCCCTTGAGCCAAAATGGCTTGAGCCAAAATGGGTACGGACCCTCCTCCTCCTCCTCCTCCTCCTCCTCCTCCTCCTACCTCCCTCCTCCGTCCGTCATCCTCCTCTTTTCTCCCCTCCTCCACCTCCCTCGCTCCCCTCCTCCTCCTCCTCCGCCTCGTCCTCCTCGTCCTCCTCCGTCCTCCTCCTCCTCGTCCTCCTCCTCCTCCTCCTCCTCCTCCTCCTCCTCCTCTTCTCCCTCCTCCTCTCCTCCTCCTCCTCGTCCTCGTCTCCTCCTCCTCCTCCTCCTCCTCCTCCTCCTCCTCCCCTCCTCCTCCCTCCTCCTCCTCCTCCTCCTCCTCGGGTCCTCGTCTCCCTTCCTCCTCCTCCTCCTCCTCCTCCTCCCTCCTCCTCCTCCTCCTCTCCTCCCCTCCTCCTCCTCCTCCTCCTCCTCCTCCTCCTCGTATGGCGACGGCGGGGGAGAGGGGGCGGATCACGCCTGCGCCAGCGCCTGCCTGCGTCGCTCCTGCGAGCGCCCGGACGCGCGCGAGGGAGGCAGGGTGGGCGGGAGGAAGCCCGAACAGGACCAAGGCGGAGGAGGAGGGGGAGGAGGAGGAGGAGGAGGAGGAGGAGGAGGAGGAGGAGGAGGAGGAGGAGGAGGATGAGGCGGAGGAGGAGGAGGAGGAGGAGGAGGAGGCGCAAGAGGAGGAGGAGGAGGAGAGGAGGAGGAGGAGGAGGAGGAGGAGAGGGGAAGGAGGAGGAGGAAGACGAGGAAGGAGGAGGAGGAGGTGAGGACGAGGAGGAGAGGAGGAGGAGGAGAGGAGGAGAGGATGAGGAGGAGGGGAGAGGAGGAGGAGGAGGAGGAGGAGGAGGAGGAGGAGGAGGAGGAAGGAGGAGACGAGAAAGATGGGAGGAGGAGGAGGAGGAGGAGGAGGAGGAGGAGGAGGAGGAAAAGAGGAGAGAGGAGGAGGAGGAGAGAAAGAGGAGAGGAGGATTAGGACGGGACGAGGGGGAGGAGGAGGAGGAGGAGGAGGAGGAGGAAGGAGGAGGAGGAGGAGGAGGGAGGAGGAGTAGGAGGCGAGGAAGAGGAGGGAGAGGAGGATAAGGAGGAGGAGGGGGAGGAGGAGGAGGAGGAGGAGGAGGAGGAGGAGGAGGAGGAGGAAGCGGAGGGCGGACGGGGTCAGACGCAAGGGTGACGATCACTGTGCTTTCGGGCATCGCGGGGCACGGTCGTCTTCCGCACGGTCTGGCGTCGGAGGCCGCGCGAGGGAGGCCCGCGGGCGATGCGGGTTTGGCCACGGCCTCTGCTCAAGGGGAAAAAACCCTGACCACCCCTGGAGCGCCCTAACAGGAAGCGTCTTCGTATTCGGCGTTTCGACAGTGGGCGGAAAGGGGGAGGGGGGGACTGGGGCAGGGTCTGGCTCCGGACCACCGCCCACTGCGACTGGTAACCCCTGGGTAGCGACTGTTTGCAGCAGTGCGTCCTATGGGGGAGGCTCCACCTGCTCGAAGCAGGCGCCCAAAACAGCCAAAAAAAACCCTGACCACCCCAGGGTAACGCATTCTCTTCTTGGTCCGAATGGGGGCTTCATGCCCCCGAGGTGAGGCGAAGCCAGAGCGAGGGCAACTTCGGAGGAGAATAAATCGAGAATGTCTGAGATGCGAGCGTTTTCTTTTTCGGCATTTCGACATTGGGCGGAAGGGGGGGAGGGGGGGGTCTGGCTCCAGACCAATGCTCACTGCGACTGTTTGCAACAGTACGTCATATGGGGGAGGCTCCACCTGCTCGAAGCAGGCGCCCAAAACAGCCAAGATCCACTCCATGTGGAGGGGGGATGCGAGGCCCCGCGCCGATCGGCCAAACAATGAACAAGAAACAGTCACGATTCGGGGCCTTTGCAGGACGTCTCGGGCGCCGCGGCCCTCTCAGAGCGCTCCAGAACGCTCAGAGCTCCCCTCGTCCTCTAGCCCAGGCCGACTAAGGGTGGGGCAAAAGGAAGCGGGGGCCGGGCGCGAGGGGACAGAGCAGGACAGGCCCAGCCCGGGAGGAGGAGGCGGCCCAGCCCTCAGCCTGCAGGCCGGCGCTCGAGGGCCGCGGCTCGCACACTCGAGGGGACCTCCTCGACCAACGAGCGACGAGTCAGAACGGGTCTTGCGCGAGATGGCATAGAGGCCTTACGCCGCGGCTTCCGTGGGCCGCCAGCGCGGCACGCCACACGGGAGACGAGGGCGCCCACGCGCGACCTCGCGCGGGCAGTTTAAGCGCGCGGACGTCGGCGCCGGCGATCCCGTTGCCGCGTCGCCCCAGTGAAGCTGTGAAGAGAACCTTCTGGACTCTTCGTCGTCTCCCCCTGCAGGCCTGGTTGGCGCAATCCTGGATTTCCAGACGAGCGCGCTCCGCTACCCGCAAAGTAACTAGGTACTCGCAAACGGCCTGGATCCGCCGCGGGGGGTCTACGATGAATTACATCGACGCAGACACGTTTTTTTTTTCTGGCGTTTACGAGGAGGCTGTAGGCACTTTGCGAGTAGTGGAACGCGCTCGGTGAGTTTCGACATTTGGCCGCAGGGTGGGGGAGGGGGGTGTCTGGCTCTGGGCCGGTGCTTCGTCGATCTGCTTCTACCGGTCGCGCGAGCAGACTGGGGGGAGGGGTCCTAACCCCTCGCCAACAGCAGCCGCCAGAGGCACCCAAGATCTGCTCGAGGGGGGGAGGGGGGAGGAGGTGAGGGCCCGCGCCGATCGGCGGAATAACTCATGGAAGAACGGCGACCTCGGTTGGGTCGGATCGCGAGAGGAGCTCGGAGCGGAGACGGCTACCGGCCCGCCAGCGAGCCGCCCCGAGCCGAGGAATGGCATCGGATCGGACCGCGCCCGCGGGCTGGGCGTAATTAGGGGGGAGGGGCGAGGAATGGGGGAGAGGTGCGGCGGAACGCCGGGCAAGGGTGGGAGAGGGGGGAGAGGCGGGGAGGGGGAGGGCGCGGTGCGACGCGGAATGCACTCGTCGGGGCGGAGGGGGCGCTGGACGGAGGTTCCACTGGGCCGCTGGGGAAGCATGGGGAACAGGGCGAAAGGGGGCGGGGAGGGGGGCGCGCGGCGCGACGCGGAATCAACCTGTCGGGGCGGAGGGGGCACCGGCGGAAGTTCCGCTGGGCCGCCGGGGAGCGCTGGGAGTGCGGGAAAGTGGCGGGGAGGGGGGGCGCTGTGCGACGTGTGCTGGGGCGGAAGGGGGCGCTGGGCGGGCGGAGGCTCCACTGGGCCACCGAGGAACGACGGCGCGGGTCGGCGCGGGGTGCGGAGAAGGGAGGGGGGAGGGGCGGGAGGGGGGCGGGGAGGGCGCGGGATACATGATAAAATGGTCGGGGCGGAAACGGGGCATTAGGCGATAGTTCCACTGGGCCGCTGGGGAACGCTGGGGGAGGGCAGGAGGGGGGCGGGGAGGGGTGGGACGGCGCGGTGCGACGCGGGATGACGTGGTCGGGGCGGAGGGGGCACTGGGCGGAAGTTCCACTGGGCCGCCGGGGAACGCTGGGGGGTAGGAGGTGGGCGGGGAGGGGGGGGGGTGGCGGTGCGGACGGGGGCGGAATGAAATTGTCGGTGCGGAGGGGAGGCACTGGGCGGCGGCTCCACTGGGCCACCGGTGAACGCTGGGGAAGGGGTTCGAGGAGGGCGGCGAGGAGGGGGGCGCGGTGGGACGCGGAAATTATTGGTCGGGGCGGAGGGGGCAATGGGCGGATATTCCACTGGGCCGCAGGGGGAGCGCTGGGGAGGGGCAGTAGGGGGGCGTGGAAGGGGGGCGGGGGCGCGGTGCGACGCAGAGTAAAATATAAATTTGTCGGTGCGGAGGGGGCACCAGGGAACGCTGGGGGAGGGGTAGAGGGGTGCGGGGAGGGGCGGGGGCCGGTGCGACCGCGGAATAACAGTTCGTGGCGGAAGGGGCATTGGGCGATAGTTCCACTGTGCCGCTGGGGAACGCTCTCCTTGGGGGAGGGGCAGGAGGGGGGCGGCGAGGGGGGGGGGGGGGGCGCGGTGCGACGCGGAGTAAACTGGTCGGGGCGGAGGGGGCACTGGGCGGAGGTTCCACTGGGCCGCTGGGCAACGCTGGGGAAGGGGTAGGAGGAGGGCGCTGTGCGACGTCGAATAAAATTTGTCGTTACGGAGGGGGCACTGGGGGCGGAGGTTCCACCGGGCCGCTGGGGAACGCTGACGAGGGGAGAGGGGCGGGGAAAGGGGGGGGCGCTGTGCGACGCGGAATGAAGTCGTCGGGGCGGAGGGGCACGTGGCGGAGGTTCCTCTGGGCCGCTGAGGAAGGGTAAGGGGGGCGGGGAGGCGGGGGCGCGGTGCGATGCGGAATAACAGTGTTTGGGCGGAGGGGGCACTGGGCGGAGGTTCCACTGGGCCGCAGGGGAACGCTGGGGAGGGGCAGGACGGGGGTCGGGGAAAGGGGGGGTGCGGTGCGATACGGAATCAAGTGGCCGGAGCTCTGGACACCCTGTGCAAGAGAGTTAAAAATAAACAAAATACCCCACGCACTCAAAAATAATGCAAACATCGCCTCCTGACGATTTTATGTTTCGGATATTCCTCATGTAGGTGGTGGGTGGGTAGAAAATGTCCACACCCATCGCGCCAAGATGGTACGACATCGAACTGCGTCGAACAAATATCCATGATCGCCGCCCCACCACAACCAAAGTTGACAGGGTTGGATGCGAGGCAACGCGCGGGGGACAAGATATGGACACTCCAACTCTGGGCTTGGCGGTGAGGGGGAGCGAGCCACGTGGATATTGCAAGTGTCGTTGCCATCATGCCTGATTGTCTTCACGCCGTCGGCGTGAAGACACTTTTTGCCCGGGCACCAGAGTTAAGTCGGGCCTGTCCCCCTACAGGGGTATTTTCTACGAAACATTAAAAAATACCCCAAACATAATCCAGAAATAATCCAAAAATAGTCTGGGGACTATTCTTTTAATAGTTTTTGACCTTTTTGGGGTATCTTTGCATATGTCTTACTTTTTCGTCGAAAATTCCCATGTAGGGGGACACGCCCGACATAACACCAGAGGGACACAGCAAAGCCGTGGCCACTGGCGGCGCTCCGCCTCGAACGCCCGCGCCGGCGCCGCCGCCGCGCGTAGAAAAACGCGGCCCGGACCCTGCCGCCGTCGGCCCCTCTCTGCGGCTGGCGCTGGGAAGGTAGCGCGCGGCATCGACCTCCAGAATCGGAGGTCGAGCGAGGGGGGGGGGAGCGAGAAGGGGACAGTAGGAGCAGGTTGGGGTGGCGCCTCGGAGAAGTAATTATGAACGCCTCTCTCTCTCCCTCTCTCTCTCCCTCTCTCTCTCTCTCTCTCTCTCTCCCTTTCTCTCCCTCTCTCTCTCTCTCTCTCTGCGGCGGCCGCTGGGGAGGCAGCGCGCAAAACATCGACCTCCAGAAAATCGGGGCGCAGGGCGGGGGGGGGAGCAGTCTGAGCGGAGCCGGGGGGGAGGCCGGAGCGGGAGCACGGGAGCACTGGGGAGGAGGAGGA